AAAAAAAAAAAAGGTTCTTAATTTAAATAAGTATTTTAATAATTTCTTGAAAGATATTAGCTATATATTATTGGTTGGTTCATTTCATAACTCAAATTATATATATATATTTTAATTATCTGATACCGTTAGTTTTTGTTCACAAATTTAACATTTAACATTATTTTAATTATCGTTACTCGCAGGCTATAATTTCCACTTCTTCTCAACATCACTCTTGCTCTGTTTTCTTTGATTAAAAAATAATGGTTTTAATGAAATTGGACCTTCTTAATTTGCAGGTTGACATTCCTCTCTTGGATGACTTGTTTCTGAGCTCCATTTGTGTACAGAAAATATGGCACAGCCAAATTACATTAATGACCTCATTTGTTCAAAACTTGAGGAAATTGACTCTGTGGTACTGTAATAATTTGAAATATCTCTTCACATCATCGATGGTGAAAAGTCTTGGGCAACTTGAAGTACTTAAGATTTGGGGCTGTAAGGAGATGCAAGTGGTAATACTGATAGAAGAATTGGTAGAAAAAGAAAAGACAAGCCAGGCAATGTTTCCCAAATTAGACAACTTAAAGCTCTATAACCTTCCGCAACTTATAAGATTTTGCTCCAATTGCAATTCTCTTGGAGAAGTATATGAAGCTCAAGGACACAATGGTAGTGGATCACAAGTAGTTGCAGCCACACAATCAAATTTGGTGGAAACAGAAGTCACTCAGTTTGTGTTTCCTCAAGTAACATACCTGGAACTTAGTCATCTACCCAATTTTAAGGGTTTCTTCCCTCAAATGTACATCACAAAATGGCCATTGTTGAAAAGAATGCTTGTGCAACAATGTGACAAGGTGAAGACATTTGCTTCAGAATTTCTAAGCATTGAAATAACATATGGAGACAACCAACTTGAAAGGCAAACTCAAGATCCTATGTTTTGGATTCGCAAGGTACGATCACCAAATGGGAAAAAATAATTGCATGCAGCCTATACAAATAATTTTTTTGTTAAATTCAAGTAGGAAAACTAAATCAATACAAAATCAATCAAGGCTTACCTTCTTCTATTTTGATCTTTTCTAAATTTTGCTTTATTTCTATTTTGTCTAAAAATGACTTTTCTCTCATTTTTTTTATCTGCTATGGAAGTCTTTGGGAACTAAAATTTTTCACATATGAAAACTTAAGTCGCCTGATATCATTTAACTTGAATACATATTTGTTGGGTTTGGTATAATGCAATGCAATGCAATGTGGTTTCCATCTATAATTTTGCATTTGTACACCTTAATGTAATATGATATTTTCCTATTTAATTTTATGAAACCAATAAAATTATAATATTTGTAAAAAATATTTGATTAGTTCTGTTTTTCTTTTTCTTTTTTCTTTTTTCCTCTAATGGAAGATTCTTGTACATGTATATAGCTATTAGGCAAATGTTGGCTTGGGTTTAAGTTTTGACAAGTGATATATAACTACCTTTCTTGAAATATGGATTTCATAATTTTTACTTGTTTAGAGCTCATGCTAACCAATTAGACAGACGTTTCAAAGAATAGAGCAAATGCAGCTTGTTAGTAAGCATATGTTAGTTAACTCACAGATAGATAGGTCTCAATTTAGTCAAGACATAATATAAATAGAATATAGATAAATGTAAAACATTTTTAGACATGAAAGTATCTCATATTAATATGACATATCATAGTGCCACTTTAAATAACATGTCTAATCACATGCCAGAGGTAGTCATAACATACCCCCAACTGCGCAATGGTCCAAAAACACAGACTCATGAGCTTACAAAAATCTTCGTGACATAGGACAGATGGCATGCTTTTGCATTATGTAGCTTAATCGCAAAACATGCTATACAAAGGATTTGTATTGTATATCATACCCATTTCTCTATTTTGTATTTTTTTATCCAATTTATAACACGTATTTTTTAATTTGTCAGGATTCATTCCCCTGTCTAGAACAACTGAAATTCAAATATAATAGCATGAAGGAGATATGGCGTGGTCAATATCCAGTGGTCTATTTTCCCAAACTAAAAGATATTGAACTCCTCCAATCCCAAAATTGTTCAGCTCTTCTTCCTTCTTTTAATTTCTTCTTCCAGACACTACCTAGTCTTGAGAAGCTGGATGTGAGTGAAGCTTCCTTTCATGAAATATTCCAATGTGAAAGACTTCATAGTGAGGGAAGACCTGTATATGCGGCCTCTCGGTTAA